TCGTTATCTGTAGGTTGTATTGTCTGGAAGTAAATCCAGGATTTTAATTCAGTGGAATACAGGGTACAAATTGCATTCACTACTTTTCTGTGGGACTGGATTCATATTTAAAGTGAATAGGTATTTTTCAAAAAGTATCAAGTACTATATATATCTATATTGATCAGAAGGCATCGGGTGAGCTTGCACCTGCTGCCAATATAGTAGATCCACCGCTGCTATTACTAATTCATGACTTCAAAGTCAACTTTATGTACCCAAAGTTATATATCTTCAAATAACAGAACCTGCATGTCTCTCTCATTGGTTTTTATGGAATGAAAGAAATAGAAGATAGTACCTCAATAATTATAACGATTTAGAAAGTATTAAAAGATCGTTTTTGGTTTACTTGTACTTTTGGTGTTAATGGTATGTGTGAAGAACTGACAAATTTGATATGTGCCAATGGATGACGTGTTTGAATTGTAATAGACATCTTGTACTTATTTTTGATACCGTCTTGGTATTTACTAATGAAGATTTCGTTTCTTCTAAATAAGAGGTCTGTCAGCAAAAGAAGTCTAAACCATGTCATTGCCCAAACGTCAAAATTGTAGTTTTCATCCAAGGTTAATTTTTTAGCTCTCACCATCTTGGTGTTTAGTAATAAAATTTGTCTTATCAAAAAGGATTTTACTTCTATACATTGAAAAAGCAAATATTGTAACTGTAGTTCTTACCTACTGTTAGTTATTTAGCTCTTACATCTTTTTGTTGGGAGCTTAGAGAAACTTATAGATCTGAAAATTGGTTAAGAGCTCTAGTCTTCACAATCTGAAGATGCAGGCATATAATACTCTTAAAACCATTGGCTTTTCCATAATATATCGACAATTCTAGATTCTTGTCAAATCTTTCATGTTATGATAAAATGCACGGTACCTTGTTGTGCTGGTAATAACTTGTAGTTTACCTTTCTATGCCTATGAACTAGGCTAATCACCCCGTTGAAATTCCAAAAAGAACCCTTTAGGCATTTATGTTTTATCGGATTTAAATCCATAAAATTTGTCTTAAGCTCAAAACATATTAGTCCAAATAAATATTATGGACTAATGTAATTGAATTAATAATTTGAATTTGATATGTATATATTTAATTAAAAGTCTAATTTTGTTTGGCTATTCCATCGAATTGGGGTGCGAATGATAAACCCACTTTATTATTCCAAGGTCTATCTAATGTTATCTTATCCTAACAGCCTAAATTTGTGCCACATGTCTAGCCAAGTCAAATGAAGGAGCCAATAGGATCACGCCGCATGCTAAATGACGTGGCATGCCAAGTCACTTTAAAAAGGCCAATAAGAACCAGTGCTGTCAAAGGCGCGCTTAAGCCCTAAAGCGAGGCTCAAAACATGTTGAGCGCTTCGGCTCGCTTTGCGGGCGCTTCAGTATCGCATCATGTCTCTAAGGCATATTTTTCCTTGCCAATGAGTGTAATCATGAAAAGACGACACTGAACAATTGATATTTCACTTTATCATAATTTTTTTGTCCACATATTTGTTATTCATGCTTATAATTATTGGTCTTGGACTACATATACATATTTTTACTTTTTCTCCATTTTCGCGTTTTTTCAATAAAGCCCACGCTTTATTTGCGCTTAAAGCCCCAACGAGCATTAGAGCTTTTTTGCGCTTTTCGCCTTTAATAAGACTGATAAGAACATGCGACATGTACAAGTGACGTTTTCTAGACAATCTAATGTGGTCTTATCACTGCTTGAATCTAATTAGTAGGATAACTCAAGTCAACTAATCAAATCGAAGCAAAAGAGTTTGTCTTCATTATAACAACTCTTTTTCACAACTATAAATAGGGGTCCTCCATAACCCAAAAATGGATCAGAAGTATCAAGAAGGTACAAAAGAGAGTTGAGAAAAACAAACACTTAAGCAATCAAATTCTAGTTTAAGATCAAACATCCAATTTCAAGTTCAAGCTCAGGAAATAAGTTCAAATCAAGATTCAAAGTGTGCGAGTTCAAAATCATCCGTTTGGTGTAGTTGAACTCAAATCCTTGTTCGTGACGACTATCAAATTGTTCGTGACTTATAATACAAGTTCAAGATCAAGCTCTCAAGCCCTTAGCTCAAACTCAAGATTATAATTCAATATCAAACATACAAGCACTTGAATTAGAATCCAAATCAATCAAAGTCAAGATTTAGCTATCAAACTCTTGAGTCAAGAGTTGAGAAGAATTAGAGGAGAATCCCTAGATTTAAGATATTGTAGAGATTGTAAGAAGAATTAGAGGAGACTCCTGATTTAAAATATTCTAGAAATTAAGTTTTTTTAGCACGAACAAATGATTTGATCTCGTACTTTTTGAACTTTGATTTATCCTTCATTCTTGAGCTTGAACTTGGATATTTCTTAAATTTGAATTTGATTGCTTGAGTGCTTGTTTTGCAGAGCTATCTCTTGCAGCTTCTTAACTTTAGATCTCTCTGATAAGTTACGAAGGACTTATATTTATAGTTGTGGGAGAGATGAGTTGTGATAAGGACAAACTCTCTTGTTTTGATTTGGTTGGTTGACTTGAATCACCGATCAATAAGATTGAAGATGACAAAACCATATCTGGTTGGCCAGAACATTTCGGCTGTGCGCAAGACCTGTACTTATTGATTTTTTTTATTTGACTTGGCATGCCGCGTCATTTGACATGATTTTATTGGCATCGCCACGACACTTGACGCGTTCTACAAATTTGGGCACTTATGGATTAGATAACATTCAATGGATCTTGAGCTAATACAATCCACTAGATGAACGAGTCCAATGAAATTGAACTTTTAATTAAATTCATGCATATTGGACTTAAGTAATTAATCCAATTATATTAGTCTTTGGACTAATTTGATCTGAACATAATCCAAATTTCTTATGGACTTAAATCCAATAAAATTTAAATGCCTACAACCCCAGCTATTTTTCCCCTTGGGTCCTTGCTATTTCTAACATTTGATTGGTTGAGATGCTTAGTGTTCACGGGAGACTCATTGCATTTTTTGTCACAATGAGGTCTTTAATTAAACTTTCGAAAACCATAATGCAATTATATGCAATAGTACCAACTTTAAAAAGGATTGACAAATGTATTAAGCATTGGTTTTTGGATGGCTTTTTTTTTGCCTTGGGATTTGCTAGTTGGTAAAACCAATGTGGGTATGCATTTTTTATTTATCTTTTAGGGGGGCATGCTCTATGTTTGTCGTCCAAAATTCTTATATTTTCGTGGCATTCATTTTTTTCTTCTAATTAAGAAATATCTATGTGCCTTCTGGATCTTATTGTCAAAGTTAAGTTGGCATAATTTACAAGCGTCAAAGTTCATTTACGTGAAATAGCCCAAGCTAATGCCTTAGGTGATACTACTCTTTTGGTTTTGTTGAAGCTAGTCATATTGCAAAAAATGTGAAGTGGGGTTACTTTGGAACTAAAGACAAGCTAACTCAGTTTTAATGCAGAAGATGGAGTTGCTAGAAGGTAGCGTCTTTAGCAACTCCATCCACATGTTGAAATCTTCCTCTGTTCAGGATATCATATGTTTCTGTTGTAGCTGTATAGAGTATTTGTAGAGTGCAGACCTTTTAAGCAGTAAGAAAACATCTGATTGCCAATAATAGCTTTGTCATTTGTCAACCCGATGTCATTTGAACTCTATACTTCCTTTGTTGTTGAAATTGCCTTTCGGGGAGCAACAAACTGTTGTATTGTTTTGAGTACTTGACATCAACTGCACCTTGTATTTCGTGTTACTCTACTTTTACTAATCTTTTTTTTTCTTTGTTTCTTCTATTCTTTCAAAATTTTCTGTCTGCCGTTTAACAGGTATATGATGTGACAAAATTCTTGGATGACCACCCAGGAGGTGATGAGGTTTTGTTGTCTGCAACTGGTAATATATTTTGACATATTCTTTCCTGCAACTAAAATTTTGATGCTTATTGGTTTCTATGGAAGGAAAAGGAAAGCACCAGAAAGTTAATATTTTTGCACCTTGTTATTAACAGGATAGCTGTGGCGAAGAGTAATAAATACTTCCCTCCAAATTAAGTCAAAGTGAATTAATAGGAAACTTGAGGGAAAATGCTTTCTTCTTATATAAACTTTCCTTCTCTTTTATTCAGTAGCATGCAAGAATGATCTTACTGCAAATTTACATTTTCGAAACTTTCTTTACATCCAGATGAAGCCTTACTAATTTAATATCTAAGTCGGTGTTTCTCAAATCTTATACGTAATGATCTATATGCAAAACAGAATTAGAGTTTTATAGACGAATATCGATCACTTCTATACTTTGCCATCTTACAAGTATTAGACAACCTTGACATAAAGAACAATAATGCGTTAGAAGACACTCGTGATTGTGTTCCTGGTTCTTTGTGCAGGAAAGGATGCAACCGATGATTTTGAGGACGTTGGCCACAGCAGCAGTGCTCGAGCGATGTTGGATGAGTATTACGTAGGTGATATTGATTCAGCAACCATTCCCACCAAGACCAAGTATACTCCTCCCAATCAGCCTCATTACAACCAGGATAAAACATCAGAGTTTGTCGTCAAGCTCCTCCAATTCTTAGTTCCCCTGATTATTTTGGGTGTTGCTTTTGGCATCCGTTTCTATACCAAACAATCATCAGCTTGAAGATCGAGTTCGTGGTGAACTCATAAGAAGTGTCCAAAAGAAAAGCCCGGGG